ACAGTTCAAAGCATTTGAAATCTCTCCCATTCCTTCAGATGACTTCTTTGCAATAACCCTTACCAAACTGTAACTTACAGTAATACCATACAGCTACTAAAAGAGGTTAAAGGATTTGGAAACAACTGATGAATTATTTATTTTTTATTAAAACAAGCAAATAACAGAAACCAAACCTAAATATCACACAAAAAAAAAAAAACATCCAAAAGCTTATCTAAGCCATCTAATTAAAAAGAGGGAATGGAACCTAACTTATTTTTTAAGTATGATCTGTTGGTCATTTGCGTCAGAAAGTCTTACGTGCAGCAGCTTGCTGGAGGTTTTGTGCAGAGTGTTTTGTTAAATGCATTTATTTTCATACTAAGATGGAAACTTCATTTCTTTTGGATACTACAGTCTCTGATGACTAAAAATAACTGCTTGTTCTGGAATAACGCAGAATAAGAACCATCTCTCAAATTTCTGGTAGCTCAGTTCTGAAAATATATTAACCAAGCAAAATATTGATTAAAGTTAGGTTATTATTGCCATCAACATTTGTATATGAAAACAGCAAAACACTGAAGTATGTTTTGCACTAAGTGCAAAGATTTTGCAAGTTTTATGCTATTCAGTATAAATGATCTAACTGCATCTTATGGAGAAATGGCACAGAGTCATATCTTGGCCTTATTCTTTGTTGCAACAATTGACCTACTGCTTTGTTTCAACTTCCTATCAACTGTGAAAAGTGGTATGCAAGAGGAGGTCCTTTACCTATGCAAGCCCGTAACACCAAGGGTTGTGCATTGTTTTAGTTAAACTGATGCTATTCTAACACTATTTAGCATGTTCAAAACTGAGAGAAAACTTACTGCCATCAACACTGTTTTACTCTGAAGCTGAGAGAAACACTTCAGTTTGAAATTTTTTCATGGTTATAAACATCTTACTACTATGTTAAAAATACGTGTGCATTAAGTAGATGAAGAAAGCACAAACTTCTATTTGAGAGATTATCCTGTTGTCAGTAGGAACAACATGTATTTAAGTAATGGAAGTGTCTTAAACCTAGGATATAGTGGAAGTTACATCTGGTCAGACACTGTTATTGAACATGGTCTCATGCCCTGCTCAGTGTAAACAGAGAATAAACCGATTTATTTAAACCATTTATTTGGACACATTTTTAAATGAGTTTGCATAGGGACTACTTGGCTTTAGTTTTGTAAAGATACCCTCATTTGTACTGCAGTAGGAAATAGCGGGTCATGTGCTGATAGTGGGAAAACTGATTTCTTTAAGTGTACTAGAGTTCTAGGTAAACTGCCATAATCAGAAAGATGCAAGACAATTCTTGCTGGTAGAAAGATGTGCTTCCCCTGCTCCTAGGGCCTTTTAATTTTTTAGGAAATTACTGATCTCATTTTGATCAAGCTTAGGTTCTCAAAGTGATCTTTTATTTCATTGCATTTACATTAGCACCTGATGAGTGACATGCTGCTTAAATTCTTCTACAGCTTAGCTTTAATATTTTGCTTAATATTTCTAAGTACCTAGTGCCCTGTAAATAGTTACTCTCTCAGAAACTGAATGAGTGATTGCAGTCTACAACCTGATAGCTGAAACGGTAATCCCTTTATCCTTTGATGCGCTCTCTGTTCTTCTGACATGTCTTCATAGCAGGCAAAGCATAAATTTGTCTTGCATACTGTCTTTCATAAAAATAGTCATAAGCAAGGTGTTTTGCAGTAAGGAAATGGATTAAAACTGTTTCTCCAGTCAACACTGAGCTTAAGTTACACAAATGCCTAGAAGCCTCTTCAAACTGCTGCTTTTTTGTGCATGCAGAACCAAAGTCCTGTCTGCGTGCAGCAGTTGTTATGTGCTGACACTGTGCCTGGCTCCAAGTATGTCACATCAACATTAAAGCTAACCATGAATCAAACTATGGATAAAAGTATTTTTCACTTGGAGAAAAAACCCCAGACATTTAGATATGAGTAAATTGCTTAATTATATCCCATTTTTCAGAAGTGCCTAAGTAATCTAAGTCCTACTAAAAGGACTTAAAGGTTAGGACTTAAGCTTCTAAGTGTCTTAGTCAACATTTTTAGAAGTGTGTAACAACCGTGTATCCACTAATGTCTCTGGCAATTCCTGAAATCTGGTGCTGCTTAACAGTGCAGAATACTGTACATACAGTTAAATCAGAGGACAGAGTGGGATTGCAGTTCCAGATACTTGTTTCCTCAGGAACGGTGTGATGTGGTAGACAGGCAGAACAGTACACAGCGATCTATTATCAAGCTCCTCAGGACAAGTTCCTTTGAATGCTGCTCGTTGCTCCCAAGGAAAGAAGAAAGGCAAAATACATTTTAAAACTTCCTTTCTTAATTTTCTAGTGGCCGATTTCACTAAATACACTCCACCAAGTTAAACTCTGTTCCATCTCTACTATAAAATCCTGTATTCTAAGCAGCTGATCTGCATCTTGTGTACTGTATGGTCTGCCTGAATGCTATGTGATTGTTATATGGCTGAGCATATTTCACTCTCTATTCAGCATTCTGGGTCTGATTTCTAGAGATGCTAAGCATCTTTGCCTCCTGAATTCAGTGAGGAATACTGCACAAATTTATTTAGTTTTACTTTTAAATTGATTGAGATTTCATTCCTATGCAGGTTCCAGATTTCACTATTACAGACCTGTCTTCAGAGACAGATGATATCCCAAACATTCTGGATTTGGATGAAGATGATCAGCAAGACTTTTCACGCACAAATGGCCCTTACACTACAGGGCAAAGAGCTGAATAAAGAAGAGCATAAAAACATCTTTTTGATACAATGTACTTCTGCCATGTTTAACTTAGATTTCTCCTTTCTGAAGATGAACCTATCCTAGTTTAGGGATTTTGGGGATATTTTTTTTGATCACTACTGGTTTAGTTGCATCAAAATTATATATATATATTTTTTTTTCTATGTAAAGAATGTATGCTACTTTAATTCATTAGCATGAGTGTAAAGCTCACATTCTACAAAACAGATACAACCTAACAGTGTATCCAGCTGATCAAGTCTTTGTTGATGATTTGTTCTCTGGCTGACAGCAGCCATAAGAACACTCCAGTGCTTTTCATAAAGGGCTGCCAACAATAGGAGTTGATGAGTATTTGCCCACAAAATTTCCCCTTTCATTCTACATGAGAAGCACTTCTGCATCTACCTCTTTGCTGCTGGAATGGGTAAGAGACTTTGTCTCAAATTCTCTCAGGTTCTCTTTGTTAGGCTCTGTACCTAGAGAGCTCAGAAGCTTAGGGCTTGCCTTTGGCGAGAGTGCTATATGCACGAAAGGATTCCCTTTCTCTCTACATGCCTTCTGTGTGCAAACATTCATGCCATCCTGACGTTATCATCTGTGGGGCCTGAGACTAAAATAAGGTAAATGCTTAAGAAGGAGTTTTGTCACAAATAAGGATGACAGTTAAAAAAGAAGGGGGAAGAGACTGTAAGGAGTAAAGAAAAAATAGAGGTCAATGAGATACAAACAGATGTGGGCCAAAAGAAAACTGAAAAAAGATAAAGACAATTGGAGGGTAGGGATACTTCTTGTGACAGTAATGGCCTTCCTATGTTTAAACACAATCTCAAGTATTTGCAAAGGAATATTGAATCTGCATTTGGTTGCACACGGTGACTTCTGTAGGAGTTGGGGTGAATGGACCCAGACTGGAAGCAGGTTTGTTCAGTTTCTTTCTGAGAAGCAGGCTGATGCTCCGCAGAGCACTGCCGGTATCACTGCAGGAAATCCGGAGGTGCTGCACAGTGCTACAGCCACTGAGGTGTTGCACAGCGGGTAGGATTGCTGCGAGGTTGGCACCCACTCTCTCTTGTCATGTAATGCTTGGTTGTTGTGGAAACTCTGGAGTGTAGTCACTGAAATGCCTTGGAATAAACATTTGAACCACACAGCCCACTGCGAGTTGTACTTGTTTTCCATGCTAAGCGTCATGGTTGGTTTGTTACTGCAAAAGACGGTGGAAGAAACTGTCTAAGACTTGGGAGTTTTAGAAACCAGGTGTGCTTTATTGCAGCGCTGAGTGCACACGTGGATCATTTTACAAAGGTAAGTGCACCTAACGCCACTAGCAGCTACATATTTAGCATACTCATGCATATTTACAGCTTTTCCAGACAGTAATTACCTTACAAAGGTAAGTGCACCTAATGCCACTAGCAGCTACGTATTTAGCATACTCATGCATATTTACAGCTTTTCCAGACAGTAATTCACACATTCATGAGATTTCCAGGAGCTAATTATATCTGCATTCTAATTACACATTATGATTGTTGCCAATAGTCTTCCTCAGTGTGTTCACCAGTGCTCACCTGTTGCGTTCACGATGTTCACCAGCATACTCAGTGCTTGCCTATGCTCGCAATGTCCTAATAAGTGTGGTGTGATATGTCCCTGCTTTCATTTTGTCCCAGTCTGTTACCGGGAAGGCTAGCATCCTTAGTCTTATTTACTGCCTACTTAGTTGTTCCCAGTCCCGTGATGTTCCTTCCCGTCAGCCGGACATTCCTTGTTCCCTACACGCCAGCAAGTTAAGAGCAGTTTGCCGTATCCTACTACGTGACCTTACCGCCGTGCGCATTACTGTTAGCTTGAACCCACGATTTAACCCTACAGGTTAAAAGCCCGCTCTGCCCTCTGCAGGCCGCCGCCTCGTGACAGGCGCCCTCCACGGCCTGCACGCGCAGCTCGGCGGCCCTTCGGGGCGGGGCCCCGTAGCGACGGCGGCGGCGCACGCGCGCAGCCTCCAGCCCCCGCGGGGTTGGCGGCAGGTCTCGCGGCAGGTCTCGCGGCGTTTGGGCCTCCCGCGGGAGGGCGGGGCTGGCGCCCGCGCGCGCTTTTATAACGGGCGGCGGGAAGTGGCGGCGGTGTGTTGTCCGCTTGGTGGGCCGCGTTCCGATCTGTCTCGGTGGTGGGTGCTCCGTGAGGCGCTATGGGATGCAAGTGGGAGGAACGCCATCTCTGGTTGTACGTACTGGCCTTGGGGTTAGAGCGGAAGACTGTCGACGCCTCCCACTTGGTACTGGGACCGTAAGTGTGAGGGAGAAGCGGGCTGGGGAGGGAGGGGAATGGCGCCTTCGGTCCCTGAGCGAGGTCTTGGGTTTCAGCAGGCGGCGCCCAGCATGAGGAAGGAAGGTAAAGGAAGTGGGGAGGGAAGGGGCAGGCATCGCCTTGCAGCAGAGGTGCCTTTTGATGCAAAGTAGTACTTTGTAATCTTGAGCGGTCAGCAAAAAATGCTGTGTTAATTCGGTATGGTAGCTGCATCTGATGTGGCTCTTTATTTGTGTATTAGAAAGATGTTCAACATACCGAATAGCAGTGCGCTTCGCGTTATTGCCACCTTCTTGTTTGAAAAGCTGGATCCGGCTCGGGCAGCAATGATTCTCAGGTAAGTGAGTTTCGGGCTTGTGAGGTTGGTGCTATGCATGTAATCAAGAACGCGATTTATGCAGCTGCTGGGGTGTGTATGTGTGTGTGTGTGTGTGTGTGTCTGGAGGAATGCCGTGGAAGAAGAATATGCCGTCAGAATTTGTTTCCTTTTGATCACAGCTCTGCAATGTATCAGAAACCTTGCCTTAATTATAGGCATTTCTGAAAGTGTCTGTAACTTCGTGAGCTATAGATGCCACCTGTTGGTAAAAACTTTCATAGCCGCAAAGTAGTCTAACTTTCCCATTAATTTCCCTAACCAAGGAGGGAGTAACGCTTCCCATTTATGGATTGCTGCCAAGATTTTTAATGAGGCAAGAATCCCGTCTTCCTTAATGCCTTTCCTCATATAGCTGTGCCGTTTTAGCTAACACGTTAAACGAAGTGGCTGGAGAAAGACCAGGGATGTGAAAATTGTCAGTGTTCTCTTTTTTCCCCTCTTCCTTTCTCTTGAGTTAAAAAAAGGTGCAGACAAATCTGTCTCAGAAATAGACCATAATTACTGTATTATGGCAAGAAAGTGTTGTCATTTAACAAACTTTTAGCTATTCTTGTTGTAGGCTATATCTCCTCATTTTCTGACTCCTCCAGGAGGCATCACTGAGAAATCTTTGTCTTAGCCTTGTTCTTAAAATGGTTAATTAAGTAACTTAATATTTTACATGTCCTGAAATTGATTTTTTTGTTCTTCTTTTTCCCCATTCTTTTTAAATGGAAAGAAACTGTGTCTCTGCGGGTGCGTGTTTTACGAAGCAGTGTTTTATATGGCTGAAAGACATTGAAGTGAGTATTATGAAGGTGGAAATTGATGCTCTACTGCTTACTGTAAGCTCATTCCTTTTTTTGAAAGAATACATAGTGCTTTTAAATAAGAGTTTTAAAGAAGATTGTTTTACCAAAGAAGTTAGTTTTATTTCATATAGTCTTATTTCACATAGTTGCATCTTAGACTTGTTTGAGGAAAACAATGTGACATGGTGGAATTTAGATGAGAGAGACTTAATCCTGGGTCTTAAAACTGCTGTGGCTTTCTTCTGGATAATGGTATTAGAGTAGAGTAAATGGTAGAGTAAACAGAGTTCCACAGGGTTCCTCATGTCTGGGTGAGAATAATTTTCTTCAACTTGAGAGATGCTTGCCTTAGTTAACTCAGAAGGTGTTTATTGTTGTGAGGGTGGTTTCAGGTGCAGGAAATTTTTTTTTTACCATAAATCTTTCTTTATGGGGAAATGGGCTAAACTTTAACTTGAGCTTACTAACAGGAAAGAGGCAAACCAAAATTGATGGTTTCAGGTACCATTAGTTAATGTTATCTTATCATGCTGCCTTCATTTTAATGATAGGTGTAGAAATCAGGTCCTTCTATACTGGAACACTTTTATTTTTTAGTAATAATGCAAAAGATAAAAGCTAATAATGCAATATCTTTGAGTAAGCTAAAAGCAGAGCAAAGAACACTCATTAATGACTTCAGGAGAAAACAGGAAAGAAAACCTATTTTTTCAAAGGCAGGTATTACCAGTTGCGGGTGAGGAGGGCGGAGGTTTCTAACATTTACCTCTTGTGGATTCAGCAGTAGCAGTTGTTTTTCTCCTTAGTAGCAGTGCTGTGGTTTTGACTTTCAGCCTGGGAGCAATGCTGATAACACCGATGTTGCTCAGTAATGTTTACTCTGACCAAGGGCTTTCTGAGTCTCATGCTCTGCCAGGGAGGAGGGGAAGCCGGGAGGAAGCAGAGACAGGACACCTGACCCAAACTAACCAAAGGGGTACTCCATACCACAGCAGGTCATGCCCAGTATATAAGCTGGGGGCAGTTACCTGGAAGGGCTAGACCACTGCTCGGATCAGGCTGGGTGTCGGTCGGCAGGTGGTGAGCGGTTGTATTCTCTTCCCTTGTTATTTCCCATATCATTATTCACTTATTATCAGTGGCAGCAGCAGTGGTTTTGTGTTATACCTTAGTTGCTGGACTGTTCTTATCTCAACCTGTGGGAATTACATTCTTTCAATTCTCCTCCCCATTCCTCTGGGAGTGGGAGGAGAAAGGAGTGCGGGGAGTGAGTGAGCATGTTTCTGAGTTACCAGCTGGGCTTAAACCACAACATTACCCAACACTGATTTCAGTCTGTATGTTGAAACTGTTTCTCACATGCAGAACTTGGGATGATGGGTGGAACATTCAAAAAGTTTTAGTCTCTTCTGGCGAGAGTGGGTGTCAGCTATAGTGGCAAAATAGTTAAGGTTTGCATTAGCCTTGATAACAAGTAGGCTGCAATGTTTTGCTAAATGGCTGTTGTTTAGGCTTAATTTCTTAGGTCAAATTTATGTTTAAAAACCAATTTAATTTTTCTAGAAGAAACACAAAGGCTGTCTTCAACATGTTACAGCGTCTTCATTAATTTCTCCTGGAGGTTTTAAATTTATTCGTATGTTCTATTTGTTTGCAAAGCATGTACTGGTTGAGGACATGAAAAGGAATTCTGTAGGTAAGTTGTAATGAAACAATGAAAATGCTTCATTTGTAATGTTTGACAGTGAATTCATCAAGTCTTTAGTATATGCCAACAGTTTTAAGGTAGTTCTGAGTTGTCCAGTTCAGAATCTTTCATGGAGTTCTGTCTACTTGCTGTCAGCTACTGCTGATATAACAATGCAGATTGCTTTGCTTTCTGTTGCTTTATGGGTCTTGCTCCAAGGTTCGCCTGTGTAATGCTGTTCACCAGTCCCCACGCAAGCAGTGGTCTGTTCAGAAGTATTGGACTGTTATACTATTCTCATTCTCACAGCCTGAGTAATACTGAAGGATCAGAGCTGTTGACTGTTCTTGGAAATCTTGTGTTGTTTTATTACCTAAAGAATTGGGAAAGGGGGTGAGGGAATGAGGACGTATACAACAGAAAGAACTGGAAAAAAGGCAGTACACTGCATACTCTATTTCAGTCTAGTTAAAATGAGCATTTTGCTATGTTATTCTTCCATTTCAAACTAGGAAGATTAGAAAGTTGTCTGTTTGCTAAAACTGAATGATGTAATCCATCCTAACTTCCATTTAGGCACTGATAAACTTATTGCCAAAGCTGTAAAGTTGAGATGTAGGAATATGTACATGGCAAAGGCAAGATGCAGAGTTGCATACAATAAACTTCTGCAAATTTTTCTAAAGGAACACTTCATTATTCAAGAATATCAGAAAAAAGCATGGTAAGTGATATATTTTAAAAGGAGTGTTTTCATAAAGTCTGCCTTTTGTGTGTGTGTGGTTAAAAGGATCTGAGGAGGCTGCAGCTGCTTTACATCATGAGTTCTGTTGAGCTTTTCCCATTTTTTTTCCACTTTACCTCTAATTGACAGTTCTACTGTTTGTAGGGTCTTTTATGAAGTGTAATAGTCTAAACAAGTTGGTTTTGCAGTATAGGAGATGCTATATTTTGGAAGAGATGGTTACGTGGGCATTAAAAATGATCAAGTAATTCCACACGTATAGCACTATGATTGCGTAACATCTGAAGGGTCGTATCTTAGAATGTAACTGTTTCAGGGTGAAACATTTGGTCTTTGCTTGATCAGTACAGGACACATTTTATTGGCATAATCCTAAATTATTTCACTTTGCTTTATTTTTGTATATGTAAAACATTCCCAGTTAGAGGAATAAGTGGAACTTTCTGTGTGGGCAAAGCATTATGTCAGTGGAATTTACAGAATTTGGGTGGGATAGTTTACATGACTGGAGCACTTGGATGGACAGTTGCAAGCTGTTCATTAAATGGGAGGAAAGAAGAAAGAGTTGTACTGTAGGTAAAAGAGCAGTTTCAGTGTATGTATCATAGCTCCATACCAGAGGACTGGTCTGTTTCATTGCAATAGAATAAGTGACAGCTTAATTGCTTAATTTACAAATATCTTGGTGGATTTCCTGGCTGTCTTTCTGTGCAAAGTCACTGTGAGGAAGTCACGTGTGTTTTGTGTGTGCATTTTTTATTTGGTTTTGGGTTGTTTTGTGTGTGGTGGTGTTTTTGTTGTCCTGTTTTTTTTTTTTGTTTTAATGATTCCAAAACTGCTTCGGTGTGCAGACTTGGAAAAAATGTACATGATTAGATACTGCTTGTAAGTAATTCTGAGAATAGCAGATTAGAAATTTGGATTTTTAAATTTTTTTTTAGATCTGTGGTAACTTAACTTTTTTCTTAGGCTTTTAATTGAAGCCAAAAACCGGATAAATTCTGAATATGCAGTCCTCCAAATACAGTCTTGGAAGTAAGTGTTTTACATCGTGACCAAGTTGGCTTATATATAATCAATTTTTTACTCAATTTTATGAAATACGAGCTCTACTTTAATTGTATTCCATATGAATTTTTGTTTTGCGTGCGTGTATAGGATGAAACAAAATACTGAAAACAAAAATGACAAAACTGAGAGAATTCAAAAGGTGAGTATTTTTTCTGCTGTGGCAGCTTAGTGTATTTCTTATGTTTCTGTGGCATTTACTCTCAGATACTGTTAACTCCACTTGTTTATCTGTGATTATGCTAGCCCCTTCATCCGCCTTTATGCTGTTCTGATACTCTGTCATTATAGGTATTATGCCAAACATTCACACAGCATTTTTATTATTCTTGCCTGTTAAGGTCCGCAGCATGTGGATGCTTATAATGGGAACGCTTACGTCTCTGAAAAAACAAAAGGAAGTTGTGGATTCTATACTTGAAGATGGTGCCATTTTGGATGGAACTAAAATTGTTGTCAGCGTTCCACAGTTTTTGAGTCACAAACTTGAAAACTATGTGTACCAAGTAAGTAATTTTTGTCCTTGCTTGTCCTTTGTCACCAGGGTGTAATCCAGTACTTTTTTTAAAAAATCAAAACAAAAGAAACAAAAACTTAACAGGTGGTAAGAGGTTTGCTCAAGGGTATATAGAATGTCTAGTTGTTATGTAGAAGTTTGTTATGATTATGCTGCTGATTTGTATTAGTTATGTTTCAACCATGAACACTTTAACTATGTTGGTAAATTGTTGTTTTGTTTTTTTTTTGTTGTTGTTTAGAAATTAAAACTAGGTTGTCTACTTTAACTGTTGTTTTAACTAATGGTCTTCTGTTTCCAGTGTGTAGTATATGGCGATGTTTAGGCCTGCCATATCTTTTGGGGCAGTGGTTAAACAATACCTCATTAGTGAAGCTTTCTTAGTTCATATTGCTTTATAGGCTGTTTTTAAGCAGCTGATTCTAGAAAATAAAACCCGAGGCTTAAATCTAGAGTTTTTTGTTTTTTTTTTTTTTTTTTTGAAACATGAAACAATCAGGAACTGAATAAAAATTTCAAGTGTAACTTTGTGTCCCCTCTCTGACTACAGAAGACACAATTTTCTGATATTGATGCTGTTCACTAATTTTTTTCTTTTTTTTTTTCTTGCTATACTTCAAGCATTTTACGGGGAATGCATATGAAGCTAAAAGCCTCAATTTCGTAGCAGTTACCCAGTTATTAAATGAAGCCCTCAGGACATTGAGAGATGAACACTTTCAGTCTGAATCAGAAAAATGTCTTTCTGTACTTGAGAATAAGCGTATGTGCTACAAGAAATCACTACAGGGTTTGAAAGTGTTGAGGTAATTGTCTGGAAACTATCTGCTTCCTTGTTCTTTAGTCTACAGATCATGTCTTCCTACCTTGGAGTCTTTTCTAAAATAATACTGTTTGTAATGAAAACGTATTGGTTCAGTCTTCTTCCTTTGTCCCTGAGAAATTCACATTTTTCTTGATTAAATTCTGAGATTTTTCTCTAGTGTCGCTTTTTGCCCTTGCTTTGCTAATATTTTCAGCTTTGTTCCTCATGACCTCCTTTGCTAGGGTCATGGTTTTAAACCCAGCTGCTAACTATGTACCATGCACCTGAGCGGGATGGGGAGGAGAACTGGAACAATGAAAAACCCACAGGTTGGAAGAACAGTTCAATAATTGAAATAAAGTAAAATATAGTGATAATAGAAATAAGATCAGCAATAATAGAGAACAGCAAAAATGAAATGAAAATTCAGAAAACTCAGTTGATGCACAACACAATTGCTCTCCACCTGCCAGCTGATACCCAGACTGACCTGCTTTTCTGGGTAGCTCCCCCCAGTTTATATACTGGGCATGATGTGCTGTGGTATGGAATACCTGTTTAGCTAGTTTGGGTCAAGTGTTCTGTGTCTGTTTCCTCCTGGCTTCTTGTGCCCCTCCTCAGTGGTGGAGCATGAGAGACCAAAAAGTCCTTGATGGGGGTAAGTGCTACTGAGCAACAACTAGAATGTTGGTGTGTTACCAGCATTGTTCTCAGGCTAAAGCCAAAACACAGCACTGTTACCAGCTACTAGGAAGAAGATTAACTCTATCCCAGCTGAAACCAGGACAGATAATTGACCTGATTTTTATTTTATTTCTCATGTTAATCGGTTCTGGGATTTTAAAACTTTATCTGAAACTGGCTTAGGGAAAGTTCAGGTGTGTACCTCATAGTATGCATTTATTTTAATGTAGTTCTTCCAATTCAAGTGTAAGAAACGTGAAGGCTACCTAGCAGCTGCTTTTTAGCTTGTGAATTTCAGTTCTTAGTGGATGCACAAATGCATGGATGTATATCAGATTTTGCAGGATTAGGAAGGGTACATAATACTATCCATCTTTATGCAGAACTGTTACCTCCACCAACAGATGTCTTATGTTCATTTTCCATGCTCATATGTTACAGGCTAGAAATAGAGCAACAGCATCGTGTGTCAATTGAATCTATTTCTAGAGAACAGGAAAACTGGAAAGTGAAGTGGAAAAGCTTTCTTGGCCTATATCCTTTTTATTTCAGCTTAAATCAGGATCGAGTAAGTAGTCTTCATCAGAATCTGATAAATTGGAGAGAAAGAGTGAAGGTGAGAGGATGTATGTGTAAGCTGGTGTGTTTTTATTGCAAGACTTAAGCTTTATCTGCAAGGCTAGGGAATCAGATAACACAGTATAGCAGAAATTGCTTTATGAAGTAGTCTTTCTTAAGGAAGGTACATTTGACTTGATGACAGCTAGTATCTTCATATAAGATGGGGGATACAACCATCTTCTTAAAGCAGTAGATTAGCATAAGAGCAAGCTGATTTGGTTTTGGTTTTGTCCATGTCTATTTCCCTGTGGAAACTGAGCTTTCATGTGCTGTCAGTCTGAACAACTGCTGAGTTCCATTTTTCTCTTTTATAGTGATGGGCTTGATGTCAGAATGGAAATTATCTTTGTCATTTGCACTGATACAGGGATCTGAGATTCTACCCTTGCCTAGCTACCCAGCAGAAAGGAAAAGTTTCATGTTGAGTCTGAACTGGCTTGCAGAAAAGCTGTTGTAAATAGTTGTCTGTAAATTGCTATTGACATGCAGATTTTCTTGGACTGCTTGCGTAAATTTTTTTCTTTTGAAAGGAAAGTTGTGTAATTTTCCTTTCTTTTGAAAGGAGTTAACAGCTGTTCAGCACCATTCTTTTAGAGTTGCAGAGGAAGATCAAGGTTTTTGTCAGCATCTACTATCAATTTCAGGTCAGTGAATGGAAGTTTGTGTTTTTTTTTCCTTCACCCTGCTACTTTGTTAACTTTGTTAAAAGTTATGTGGTGTTGAAAAGACTCCCCACTGGTTTTGCAAGTATCTTTGATAGTCTTTGATAATGGATCTTTGCCACAGTTGCCTTAGATTTTTCAGCCTTGTTGTATCTCAAAGATGACAGAAGCACAGAATGGTTGAGCTTGGAAGGGACCACCAGGGGCACCTAGTCCAACACCTCTGCTCAAGCAGGAGCATCTAGAGCATGTAACTCGGATTTGTGTCCAGATGGCTCTTGAATAGCTCCAGGGAAGGAGACTCCACAGTCTATTTGGGCAACCTGTTCCAGCCTCGCAGTAAATAATTTCTTCATCATGTTTGGGTGAAATGTACTGTGGTTTGGTTTACACCTGTTGCTTCTAATCTTGTCATAAAGCACCACTGAGAAGAGCCTCGTCCTATACTCTTGATGCTCTCTCTCCATTCAGAGCTTACACACATTGATTAGATCCCCTCAGAGGCTTCTCTTCTCTAGGCTAAACAGGCCCAGCTTCTCAGTGTTCCCTCATCTGAGAGATTTTCCAGACCCTTAATCATTCTAGTAGCCCTTCACTGGACTTTCTCCAGGCATTCCACATCTCTCTTGTGCTTGGTGGCCCAGAACTGGACACAGTACTTTAGGTGAGGCCCTGCCAGGGCTGCATAGAGAGGGAGGACTACCTCACTTGACCTGCTTCAGATTCTCTGAAGCTTTTAGTATGGCAAAAAAACAACACTGGATCTGTTTGGTATTTTGTTCTCACACTAAGGATATTGAGACAGACTTCCACATGTAATGATTTGCTCTTGGATTCTAGAGAAAACATTTGACAGTAAAAGTTGCTTCAGGTTAGAAGAGGAATAAGAGAGAAAGAAGATTAAATCTTTTCCCATTGGTCAGCTGGGAAAAGAAACTAAAGGTGTCCTACCAGGAAAGCATCTTTCCCTGGTGCATTCTGAAATACTTGATTCCACAGTGACTGTGCTATTTGATCAGGACCTTACTTGATCTCTGTGTTGGTTGCTTTCGGTTATGAGGTTAATAATGATTAGAACTCCCTTTGATCAGACATGGATGTTGCCCATGTTAACTGGCTGATAAGATGACTGTATTTTACTGGGTAGTGCTTACTAACCAAGAGTTGACTGTCACTAGTGTAGATTTATAGATAACTAGAAGCTGAAAAGCAAGGGTGGAAAAGGAGGAAGACAGCTTGAATAGTCTGTGTTTGCAGTCCCTTTTAGGAAAAATGACATAGTAGATACATGTTGGAATGTCAAGATGCAAAGCAGTAGGGAGATGGCGAAAACGCTGCTCCAGTAGTCTAGGGGTATGTAAGTATAAGGCTAGAAGCTGCAAAGGAAAAGGCTATAGAATTGCAGGTGGGAGGTAGTTTGCCTTAAATCTCAAAGATTAAAGCACTGTGCAGTAATGCTGTGAGCTTCTGGTAATACTGGAAAGCTTGAGACAAGTTTTTGTCTGTGGCATTTTCTCCACTTTGTGGTTAAGATGCGTGATCTGAGAATCCAGCCACTAGGAAAACTTTCTTCTGGTTAATATGGTACATTTAAAAAAAAAAGTTAACATTGCAAACTCCAAATAAACTTAGATTTCTGAGGTGGTGTTGAGGTGAATACAAAAAGAAGTGTGATTTATGTTTACAGAAGCTGCAATTTAGGGTTAGTAGAGAATGCTGAGGTTAAACTTTGGGTGTTTATCCAAATGATGTACCAAAATAAATACTTATTGTTTGAGAGAGTCCTGAGCTGAGAGGTATGTATACCTCTGATAATATGCAAAACATTTCCTTACAGTGTGCCTTGCTTTGCCTGGGCACTTGGGCTGATGCAGCATTGATCAGAGGGATGAGTATGTCCACACATTTATTTATTAAAAAATGCAGATGAAGATAGTGGAGAAAACATGGGTGGAATTTGCTTTTGTGGAATTGATGTGCCGCACAACTGAAGCAAATGCAGAGAGGAGGGGGGTAATGTGTGGCTGGGGTTGTAGTTTGGAGGAGGGTGGAACATATATTTGGGAACAACACAAGTAAATACAGGCTGCTAGTGTTGTCTGTGGCTTCAGGTGGTACCTGAGCAGAAGAATTGATTGCTCTGTCCTGCTTACGTACTAATAATACTCAGAAAGCCTATCCTGTGACTAGTCTACAGAAGTGGTCTGAGTCACTTGTTGCCTGGGAAGCCTGAGTGGAAAGAAGTGGAAGCAATAATAAAACTGTTGGCTTGCTTTTCTAGATGTTTTGGACCCTATTACTGAAGAAAGTTGTGAGGAAGATGATGGGGCATTAGAAACTGTGATGGATAAATCAACACCACCACGGTATGATGTTAATGAGATAACTGGTAAAAAAGCAGTGGGGAAAAAAAATAGAACTTATTGGAGTTGCATATATTGCATCTCTTGATCCTTAGCGGAATATTGCAGTACTCCCACATGATTTAGGAAGATAGTCCAAAAGTAACTGCCACTTGCTGCAGCTGGTGACTGATTGATCAGCTGGTTGCTACTGAATAGCATGTGCAGCGGCAAAGTTGCAAGGTTTTTATCCCTCTTTTTGACTGCGTTCTTTCAAGCTTTAAGAGACAGGTGGAGAAAACAGACTTTGGTTTCTGAGGCTGGGCTGAAGTACGCAGTATGTTCAGTATAGCCTGAGAATAAAAGAGGAGACATTCACAGATGAGCCCTCTTTTTGTGGTTAAAACCCCCTCCAAAACCACAACTCACTAAGTCTTCTAAAATTGCTTTGTGCTGTAGCTTCTCTTACTGCAGTTCCAGTAAAAGACAGAATACAGAACAATGGTGTTCTAGAAAGCTTTGGCCTATTGGCATTTAACTGAACTGTGGAAAGTTTCGTAACCTTCTGAATAACACATATTCCAAACACATAGTCAACTTTCAAGTATGACTGTATGTCATACTTGAAAGTTGTCTAATAGGGGACAAAGGGAGTTGGCAAAAGAAGGTTGTACTGTTCTTAAGACATCAGTACATGTAGTTGGATGGAAGTCCCAAAGGTTGTCCAACTAGTTAAAAATTAAAGCCTGGATTTCTCTTAGTGACTTCATACAGCATAAATTTTTTTGTTGGCTTGTGATTCTAAAGATAGATAACAGCAAATATTAATGTTTTAAGGTGCCTTATTCCTAGCAAGCGGGGACTGCATCTTACATTTTAGTCATCTATGCTATTAGCACTATACTCATCAGAAGTTAGAAGACTGAAGTTTTTTTATAGCCAGGTGATTGTTAAATATCAGTAAGTTCACATAAGAACATATCTGTGGGTGCCAAAGGGGATTCAGAGGAAGCGTATTTAGGGAAAACAGGGAAATGAACTTGAAGTCTGCAGAAGACTTTGTAGTTATGTTTTTCAGTTATGTTGGAGAATATAGAGGACTTGTTTATAAAATGTATTACAAAATGTGTTTGCTTTTTTTGTTTTTTAATCAAGGGAAAAACTTTATTAAAAACTTGATTAATAACTTTGGGAGGCTGATACACAGCTAGGGCTAAATCTGCTCTAATTGTCACATGCTCTCCCTATAGTAAAATTGCCTTCTGATGACCGGGACGAATTGAGGGGAATCGTAACGGACAGATACGGGGCACATAAGATGTAATGGCCTTCTACTAAGACTTGCATGCCACTTGCTTTATCTGTCTCTAAAATACTTTCCCCCCCTCCCCCCCCCCCCCCCCCCCCCCCGAAGTTTCTCTTCAGTGGCTTTGGAGGTGTCAAAAGCATCTGAACACAGAGACTTGTTAACTGAACAGGTAATTCTTCAGTGACTTCCTGCCTGTCAGAGAAGTTAAACTTAAGATATTTACTTTTTACATTGAATGAAACCTGGAGTTAATATTTCAGGGAGAGGGCTGTAATTTTTTCTGGTTTGGGGGGGGGGGGGGGGGGGGAATGTGTGTGTGTGTGTGTGTGTTTTGTTTTGTATTTTTTTTCCTGTAGTGTTTTTGCACATCTTGAGTCAGTCCTGGAAAACTCTAAAAGCTGTTGGGGACTTCATCAAGCTTTAGGAAAGGACAGTAGGAAGTTGACTTCAAATACAACATTTGGTGTGTCACCGATTCTCTGCTTGTTTGCTTGTCTTTTTGGTGTGAGCAGTGGTCAGAATTTGATGTTTAAGTTGTGTGTGACCTTAAGGGTTATAAGGTGCCTAAAAGCAACTTGGTTGTATAGTTGTCTGTTGCACAATTGTTCAGTGTAGCATAGAATCATAGAATAGTTAGGGTTGGAAAGGACCTTAAGATCATCTAGTTCCAAACCCCCTGCCATGGGCAGGGACACCTCACACTAAATGATGTCACCCAAGGCTCTGTCCAAACTGGCCTTGAACACCGCCAGGGATGGAGCATTCACAACTTCCTGGGCAGCTCATTCCAGTGCCTCACCACCCTTACAGTAAAGAACTTCTTTGCCTTGGTCTTCAATGGCAGATGCTCTGACCACACCACCCAAGTCTTGCAAGGCAGACGCAGGGACTGTGAGAATGAAGACCCTAGGCCCACTGTAGGAGAGGATCTGGTTTGAGACCATCTTAAAAACCTGAATGTGCACAAGTCCAGGGGACCTGATGAAATGTATCCTTGGGTCCTCAAGGAGCTGGCAAATGAAGTCGCTAAGCTACTATCCATCATACATGAAAAATCATGGCAGTCAGGTGAAGTTCCCGATGACTGGAAAAAGGGAAATATAACCCCCATTTTCAAGAAGGGGAAATTGGATGACCCAGGGAATTACAGACCAGTCAGTCTCACCTCTGTGCCAGGCAAAACCTTGGAGCAGATTCTCCTGTAATGCTAAGCTCCACCAGCAGACCTGGCCTCCCAAACTGAGTCCTATGTTCTACATACCTAAAGCCCTGACTACAGCACCACTGTTCTAACCATTTATTAACCTTACCATCCTCCTAGCCTTTTTAAGGTCCTCCCCCTTTATCCTGGAGAATGTTCGAGGTAGTTGCAGGTGTGTCATCTGTGCTCTGTGCAACACTGTCCTAGCCACTACTTGCGTCCTACTTTAAATACAATTCTAAAAGTATTTGTTTAGTTAGAATTGAAGACTGAAATATTTTATTGACTAAACACTGAGGCTATGGCTGTTCAGAATTTGCACAGTAGTTTTCTCTTTATTCTGTTATTCTGACACTTAAGATTTGACAATTCTTGTGTATTTCTCTAGGACTTGCATATTAAAACTTGGGAGGTGGAAAAAAAGCCTGTGTCTCAAGACATGTTAAGAAACGGAAAGGATGAGTCTTCCATTTCAGAAACGGTTGAGAATGCAGGTTATCCCGTCAAAAGCCCTCTTGAGAAAGCCAGAGATGAACTGGCAGAAGTGGTTAGGAACAGTCTTTTTATTTTTATTCCCCCCCCGTTGTTAAATAAATGGTCATTAAGTTCAGAGAACCAATTACTAATTATAACGTGCCTTTTGTAATTTGCATATGTCAAAAGTTACTTTTTTCTGCTAGATGGTAATCGACATCACTAACTTTTAGGGGTGACTACCCAATTATGTACACCCTGAAAGCATGGAGCTTGTGCAGTTATCATATTTTCAAGTCATGATGAAATGAATAGAACTTTCAGTTCTATCATGGTATGATTTATGTAACTTTTAATACTTAAACCTAGATGGTGAGGGTACTTAGAATTGAGTTCTGATTTCAGTCCGCTATCTTAATTTTGTGTTTGTAGGACACCGTGGTCATTGTGAGTCAGAAGATTCAAAAAAGAAGAAGAGTCGGGAGATTCAAAACTCTTCTGATCATTTAGACAGTGGATTTATTTTGAGCCGTAACTGACAGAAATAAAGAGGTGGTGATTTTGCTTTCTCAGGATCTAGATGATCTATGATTCTATGATTTCCCTTTTCTAAAATCCTACAGGTTGCAGAAGCAGTGGTGTCTGAGTCGACTCTGACTGGTGAGAGAAAAGGAATGGCATTAGAAGATCTTACTATCTCATTGTCTTTTGACCCATTTATAACAAGAAGACAAATTCCCCGAACTCCAGAAAATCTGTATAAGTTGGAAACTGACTGTATACTACCCACTGTTGAAGAATGTGGTAAGTTCATTGAGTTTGTACATGTCACAGAAGATAACTATTTCAGTGAAGCTGCAACCCTTACAGGCTTCCCCTGTAACACAACATAGTAGGCCTAATGAAATTATGGCATTAAGGTATACTCAATTGTTTCACAAAATTACAGTATTTGCATTTTAATTACACATGTGCTTCCCTGCTGGGTGGTGGTTGAGGGGTCTCTGGTGGCCATCGATAGTCTTCCTCACTGTGTCTGCTGATTGACCTCTTTGCTTGCACTTGTGCAAAAGCCTTTTGTGAATTACTTAACAATTATGTCCACAGTTTAGGTCAGTTTGCTCCAATTTGTTCATTAGCATGAAGAACCAGCCCCATCTTGCTCTCAACAGAGGAGTCCCAATTTACAGCTTACAATTAATAGAGTGGTTTGAATTTACAATTTAGCATTTCAGCTTACAATTCCCCTCTTTTGAGGCTTAGAGGATACACATTTATCCTTATAAGCCTCTGTTGTGGTTTAAGCCCAGCTGGTAATTCAGAACCACGCAGCCGCTCGCTCACTCCTCCCTTTTTCCTCCCCCTGCTCCCGCAGGGATGGGGAGGAAAATTGAAAGAATGTAACTCCCACAGGTTGAGATAAGAACAGTCCAGTAACTAAGGTATAACACAAAACCACTGCTCCTACCACCAATAATAATAAGGGAAATAACAAGGGAAGAGAATACAACTGCTCACCACCTGCTGGCTGATAACCCAGCCTGACCTGAGTAGCTCTCAAGCTCTTCTGGGTAACTGCCCCCAGTTTATATACTGGGCATGAAGTGCTGTGGTATGGAATACCTCTTTGGCTAGTTTGGGTCAGGTGTCCTGTCTCTGCTTCCTCCCGGCTTCCCCTTCTCCCTGGCAGAGCATAAGACTCAGAAAGTCCTTGGTCAGAGTAACCATTACTGAGCAGCAACTAAAAACATCGGTGTTATCAGTGCTGTTCCCAGGCCGAAAGTCAAAACCACAGCACTGCAGCAGCTACTAAGAAGGAGAAAAATGACTGCTGCTGCTCAACCCAGGACAACAGTACTGCACCAGTTATTAAGGAGAAAAGTAACTGTTACAGCTGTACCCAGGACAGTGTCCACCCCTTACTTCATGCCATTTACATCATGCTCAGGCCCCACAGTTTTTTCAACATGCCGTTACTTTTTGTCTTTCGGAGAGATACATACATGCACACACACAGACAGATATCATTCTGTCATGGTTTAAACCCAGTCAGGTAGCTTGTTCACTCACTCCCAGTGAGTGGTGCCGAGCTGACAATAATCGAGGTCCGTGTCCGTCTCCCCCCCCCGCCTCCCCGCACCGGGGCTCTCCCCTTCCCCGCTCCCGGAGGAACGGGGAGGAGGATCGAGAGAGTGCAACTCCTACGGGTTGAGAAAAAAACAGTCCAGCAACAAATCACCACCGCTACTATCAGCTACAACAATGATAAGGGAAAATAACAAGGGAAGAGAATACGATACCACCGGCCAAGAAAAACGAGCTCCACCCATAAGCCCCTGTCCTTCCGGGTAACTCCCAGTTACCCCTCACCCCGGGCATGACGTGCTGTGGTATGGAATACCTCCCCGGCCAGCCCGGGTCAGGCGCCCCGTCTCTGCTTCCCCACAGCCTCCCCTCCTCCCTGGCAGAGCATGAGCCTCACAGAGTCCTTGGTCAGGGTAAACATCACTTAGCAACAACCGAGAACATCGGCTTCACCAACACTGTTCTCAAACTGGAAGTCAAAACACAGCACTGCACCAGTTAACACAAAGGAAAAACATGACTGCTACTGCGGAACCCAGGACACATTCCTTAGTCTGTAGACCATCCCTATAAAGTTTGCTAAGTTCATGTTGGGCTTTACCTGTTGTAACAGTCTTTCAGGACAGGAGAGGCTGTAGTGTTGGATTCTTGCTTGCTGGTGACATGACTGAATGTGTCTGGTCTCATCGGAGTGTATTCTTTGGGGTGATGACTGAATAGAAGTCAGGTTCAATCGCTGGTGACCTCAGGACAGTACTGGGAGACTCCCACTGTTGCTGCTGGCTTTTCCTGTGACTTTATTCTGTGCTGATGATCATGACAGCACATGTTTTCTTTTCAAAGCCCAGGGTGGCAGAGATGGGCATTTAGATGCTATAGAAGTGTTATATAGCAGGCAACAGCATATAATTAAGTTCATTGGCTGTTTTCACCCAAAATTAAATCCCTTTGACATACACACTGGACTTCCCTGTCTTCCTGCATTACCCACCAAGTATATCCAGGTCCCTCAGCAAAAACAATCCCAAGGGTGGGTTTGCCTTTACCTGAAGCAGGAATAACTCAGACTGTCTTCCTCAGCAAACTCTTTATGTGCACCACAGGAACTTTATCCTCTTCTACAGTATGTAAAAGTTCTGAGTGCGCTGGGCCAGCCCTGTTGCCACATCCTCTGGTGTTGACCCACCAGGTGCCTTTTGGTAAATGTGTATCCCAATGTTCGAAAGTCCCACCACCCGTTGCTCTCAGTGTAGTTTTTAACAGCCCACTGTACCAGAGGCTGGTGCATGGTAGGGGATGTGATATACTCACTCAATGCCATGCTCTTTGGCCCAAGTATCTGTAAGGTTGTTCCGGAAATGAGTCCCATTGTCTGACTCAATTCTGTCTGGGGTGCTGTGTCACCACAAGATTTGTTTCTCAAAGCCCAGGATAGTGTTCTGGGCAGTGGTGTGGGGCACAGCATATGTTTCCAGCCATCCGGTATTGCTTCCACCATGGTAAGCACATGGCGCTTGCCTTGGTGGGTCGGTGGGAGTGTGAAGTAGTCAATCTGCCAGGCCTCCGATATTTGTACTTCAGCCATTGTCCTCCATACCAGAGAGGCTTTAACCACTTGGCTTGCTTAATTGCAGCACGTTTCACACTCATGAATAACCTGGACAGCAGTGTACTTTGGCTGGTTTGGGTCAGGTGTCCTGTCTCCGTTTCCTCCCAGCTTCTTGTGCCCCTTCTTACAGGCAGAGCGTTAAGAATGAAAAGTCCTTGATCAGGGTAGACGCTACTGAGGAACAACTAAAACATTGGTGTGTTATCAGTGTTTTTCTCAGAGTAAAGCCAAAACATAGCACTGCACCAGCTACTAGTAAGAAAAAAATAAATTACTGTTACAGCTGAAACCAGGATAGAATCAATTTTTTCCTTGATTTGTTCTATTTAGTTACAGAAGTCAGAAGATCATGGAGAAAAGCTATTAAGACTGAGGACTCATCAGACATAAAGCTGAACCTACCTGAGGTAACAATAGAAGAAGCTCCAGTGGATGCTTACATCTGTAAGAAGATGGGAGACTCTAGATTTGAGTGCTTTGACTCTGCATCTTCTGTACCTGACTTTGATCCTGCCTTGTCAGAAAGCAAGTCCCAGTTAAGATCTACAGAATTTAGACCTCAAAAGCAGATGAGGATAAGTCATATTGAATCTCCAATTTCAGAATCATCTGGAATACAAGAAAGTGAGAGAAGTGAAGCACAGGAGTTAAAAGATACTGTTTTGAACAACAGTTCTGTAGATGATCTAGAAGAGCATACTTCTCAATATGTAAAGAGCATCATGAATACTACAGGCGTATGTTCAGAAAACACTTGTGGAACAAATGTTCTACCATCAGAGTGTTTTCAGGGTTCCTTAATGAGTGGGATGCTGTACTGGAATGTATCTTCATTGTTAAATTCTGTCAGTGATGAAACTGCCTGCTTGGGGATATTGGGTGAGACATTTGAAGGATGTCTTGAAGGAGTACTTAGTAACACAGATGCCAACCAGTCTTCAAGCTTTGAGTCTTATTTTGATGTAATAGACAGCCCAGTAACAGGTGGCTCAAAAAATGAGGAAGGTATTGAAAGAGCAAAGCTACATGTGCAGTCCAACCTACATGAAGCACTGGAAAAGACGCCATCTACGAGTGAAAAGGAGCTGCATCAACTACTTAGTGGAGGTGAATCTGTAAGCTCTGTATCATCCCCAAGTCTTGCACCAGAAAAAAGAGATGAATTTTCCAGTCCTCAAGAACTCTTCTTTTTGGATGAAGAGTTTACCAAGATGCCAACACCAAAATCCCTTAATGAAATAAAATCTTCTCTGTCATCTTTGCTGGTATCCTTTCGACATCTGGAGGAAATGGCATCAATGGTACTCGAAATCCCATTAGACTTAAAACATAAATTGAAAGGTAAGTATCCATGTGCTTTAGCAATAAGATTTTGTCCCTTCTGTTACTGGGTATACTATCACAAATAACCTGCTCTAGCTAAACCTTGCTGTGCAAGTATATGTACAGATTATTTTTATGCTTATTCCTTATGGAAAGTGAGACATAAAAGCAAAGGAAACATGCTTCCTTTACCTATATCACCATCTTGCAAGTAGGAGAAAAGGTGCTTGTCTGACTCTTGAGGTAATTTGCAGCTGTTAAAAAAAAAAGCCTTAAGGTGCATTAGCAGTGGAGCAATCTGAAGTTCAATTTTGAGAATTCACAAAATTAGTTTGAAGTAGTGCCTTTACTCTGAACAGATGTGGTTATTTAGAAATATGTTGTAGGTCATTGGATTTTTTTATGCATTCAGTCAGGAGTTCATTGTAATACTATTACTATACTTTTCATAATGAAATATACTCCATTCCAGAGGGCCCCCCTGCTCCCTCACCCCATTTCCAATGGAAATGTCAACTTTTCTTTAACCAGTTTAAAGTTAAGCAGTAGTTCAGTGTTTAGTTACACGTGAGGTCAGTTTCTGAAATGCAGTAATAAATATGAGGTAGTAATGGTTCTACAAAAGACTTTGACCAAAACAGCTGGTATTTAATGGAGTACTAGGAATTTAACATAATAAGCTAGGAGTAGTGAGATTTATACTTCGTGCAAAGTATTGCTTCAGTTTAGGTTGTGGCGGTACTGATAGCAGATGATCTCCTTTGCTTTGAACAGTTATCTGAATTGGAAGTAATGTTTCATACATGTTTTTTAATAGGTGTCAAACAAATGTGAAGCAGCATTTCTGTAAATTAATGAATAGTACCAAGTTCTGAGTGATAACTAATACAATTTTTCTTACAGATAAAGATGATTTGGATGAGAAGCCAGCCATGAAGGAACCATTGTCAAGATAGAATTATGGTTAAGGAGAAACATAATTGTGTTACTATGGTTGTGGATCACTTGAGAGTGTAACGTCTTCTCTAAGCACTACCTGGATGGAGAAGTTGCACTCCTGTTTTCAGCAGTCTGTATTCCAAACTTTTTTAAGCATATTAGTTGACTGCCCTGGTTCCTTTAATATGTCATCCATTGCAGCATTCTATGTAAAGCCCATCTTTTAAATGCAGAACTGTTCTTATATGAGTAGGTGGCATAATCCTAGAAAATGGAAAGGCAAAGTGTCACGTGAAATTTTGTCTTTATCTTTCCTTATTTCTACCTCCTCTCAAAACCTACCTGTCCTCCCCTTCCTCCGTCCCTTAAAACTAGCCTGAGTTTATTGGTTCCATGACAGTGAAATTGGCATAGTTGGCAAGGTGTGAATAGAGGGATCAATACAGAGGCACAGATGTGCCCCTACACTGAACAAAGAAGTGGTTTGGCGCACCGGTGCTATTAGGGAGAACTGAACAATTCTGGGGAGATGGTGGAGCACGAGGTCAGTTTTTGAAATGCCTCAATAAAAAAGAGCTAATAATGGTTTTACAGAATCTTTTCACTAAAATAGTTGGTATTTAATGGAGTACTAGGAATTTAATGCAGCGAGCTAGTCTGAACCCCGTCAGGGGCATGGCCTTGGTACAGGCACAGAACTGTTTGTTTTTTTGGTTTTTTTTTTTTTTTTTTTTTTTTTTTTTTTTTTTTTTTTTTTTTTTTTGGTTTTTTTTTTTTTTTGGAAGACCAGGAAGGGATGATTTGGAGAAGCAGGTGGAGATAGTTTAAAAGAACTGAAAAGAGAAAGTGAAGGCATTCACTAGAACAAAGAATTGAAATCTACTGCCAGAAGCAAACACACGCACCTTGTCTTGGTCAAATTCAGAAGCTGAGTGTAGTCCCAGACGTGGAGGACTAGGATGGAAATGTCTGGGCACATTCTGAGGAGAGTAGTTCTGAAGAGGTGGGGCAGTTGGAGTAAAGCTCTTACTGAGACCGAAAGGCAGAGGAAGGGGGGTAACCCAAAACCACAGTCAGCACTATTCCCTGGATAGGACCTGGGCACAGTGAATTGCAATACAGTTTTGGCATAAGCTGGGCAAACAGCAGCAGATTGTGAAGTCTCTGGTGAGAGGGGAAATAAGGTACTGTTAGGCGCTGAAGAAGCGAGCAAGTTTTGGGGTCCAGAGTGGCTCGTTGTGACGGGACACAGACGGCAGGGGGAGCGGGGAGGCAGCCTCTCCCAAAGGCAGAAGGAGCTGTGGGAGCGAGTGCGGGGGCTGCTGCAGCCAGGCAGTGAAGATTGGGCTGCAAGGAGTCCCGGTGGCCGCTTCCCGGTGGCCGCTTCCCGCCGGTAGAGCCACGCCGCCTCAGGCGCCTCCTCGCAGCATTCCCAGACCCCGAAAGCGCTCGTTCGGTGCCTTGGGAGGAATTCTGGCAGCGACCGGCACCCGCGGCGGCACCCGCGCTCGTCTCGTGACAATGAAGTCACCATCGGCCGCGCTCCTGGAGGTCTCGAACCGTCCCCGAGCCGCCGGGCAGGACAGGCCGGGGCCTTGGTCAGGAACGTGCCTCGGCCGGAAGCACTCCAGCGCGGGTGCCCGAGCTGGGTTGCGGGTCAGAGCGCTTCGGCCGCGGCCGGCAGACGGCGGCAGTGGCGGGGGAAGGACCTGAGGGGGGTGAGGACCAGAAGCCGCGGTGGGGGGACTCGGGTCGGCGGTGAGCTCCTGCCTCAGCAGCTGGCAGGGAGCTCTGTGCTCATATCCCCGGGTGCAGAGCGAGCACGTGCGGCGGTTCAATGGTGCGGGGCCCAGATGGGGTTAAATGAGCAACCGGCAGAGGATGACGGAGTTGAACCGTCAGAAGGAGAGCTGTGGGTAGCGTGGTGTAACCGATGCAGCAGCAAAACTGCCCCTGGCTCGAGCTCAGCCCCGGCTGCTGGGGAAAGTGTGTTCACAGCTGTAGCACTGCCCACCTGCACAAGGAGAATCCACTGGGACTTGATGTGCTGCAGTCAACGATGGACCTGCCCCATGGCAGGGTGCAGGGAGGCAGAAACCACTTGTGAGGCTTTTGCAGGCTGCCTCCGGTTGCCACAGTCTGAAGCAACCGAACAAGAGTTGGGCAAGTGGCTAGAGCCCTTTGAAAACTACTGAATAAAACTGGGCTGATCTTCCCCCCCTTCAAATGCCCCAGTCCTTGACAAGAGGTTAAATTCTGTGGGGCTTTGGGGGTAGCAGGAGCTGTTGCAGTACCTGACAATACCCAATAAAGTGTTGAGGAGGGGCAGGCCCTGCATAACACAATATAATTGCAACAGTTGTTAGGCCCATTAGGTTATTGGAGAAAACACATATACACGGCTTTTGGGTACTTCCCCACTAAAAACTTGCTTCAGAAAAGGGATGCGACTGGAATTCACAATTTCTGGAACCCCTTAATTCTCTGAAAGATGAACTCAAAGCATACTGAAGACTGGGCCCACTGCACCTGCAGGACCTGTGTAAAAGTGAAGTGGAGATTTGTCACTTAACCTTCATATTGTGGCATTTTCCAAAATGGACCATGAGGACCAGTGAGGCCTCTACTATGTTCTTTACCTCATTTAAAGAAATGAAACAGCGGTAATTGGCTTGGGAAAAGGGAGCCCTTTCCCTCACTAGAGTGATTAAGGAATGTGCAATGAGAAACTGCATCACAAGATGTTACAGTACAGGGTCCTTTTCTCCTTCTGAATCCAATTCTTGATGGATCGCCACCTCCTCAGGGAGTAGCTCCAAAAGCCACAGTTCAGAAATGGTATGTGTACTCAGAAGGAATTAGTCCAATTACTTCTGTTAAGAGAGGGTCTGGTCAAAGTCTCCAAATTGCAGCAACCTGTAAATCTAGACCCAGGTTTCCTAAGTCAACTGTGTAAGCCTTCTCCTATTAAGCACCTGCCAGAAACTCAGAGGGAGTGTGATTTACCAATGCATCTGCTCGTCAAGTGGGATTAAGGTGGCAGTTTAAAGCAGTAGCATTAGAAATTGGCAGCAGGAGAGAAGTTGAGAAAGAGTGAAGGTAGGCTCTGTTGACCACAGAAAGCGGTGCTAATGCCATTTACGTTGGCTGATGAAGTGTCTCCTGAAGACAGGAAGATCCCAGCCTTTGAAGGTGGGATGGATGAAAGGCCACGCACAGGTTAAAATCCCTGTTGCCAAGTGGAACCAGTAAGTTGATCACTTAGCCCAAATGAGGGTACTGACCTGTGAAAAGGTAGCCTGGGGTCGCTTAGGTGAATAGTTGCATATCAAGCAAGGCTACTCAGGCAAGGCAGACCTCTTTTGTTGATCCTGAGGCTGGCCAGTGCCTGTGAAAGCCAGTGAAGTGGTCCTCACAGCTTGCCCACAATGTCAGGTGAGAGTTAAGACCAACCACCAGAACCAAGCCCATGCCCAGCGTGTTATACAAGACAGAACTCTCTGGAACAACTGACAGACCAATTACATCAGTCCCTTGAACCTGTCCAATGGAAAAAAGTATTAATATCTAAAGTAGTATTAGAATTGTCTATGGCTACATCTGTTAGTGCTACTACTGGAGATCATATGGTCCAGGGCTTTCTGCGAATGGTTCAGTGTTTTGCCCATGCCTCAATGTATCCGAAGTGGTAACGGTTGGAATTTTACAGCCATGGTAATGCAAGATCGGGCACAAGGAGAGGGTATAAAATAGATGTTACATACGTCATATTGTCCTCAAGCCAATGGTATAGTTGGGTGTTCTAATGGCCTAATTAAAAGACATCCTGATGTTTCACACCACAAATGGGATGCACGACTGTCACAAGCAGTCCTCATTGCCAGTAACCACTGGGGAAATTATGGGAAACAGAAGATTCAAGTGTTTTGTCCTACTGGCCATTGATGGGCGACACCCCCATACCTGATTATCAAAGAGGTCAGTTCCCCCTGAGAACCCATGTGGGATATCTGGATGGTGAAACTGCCCTCTGTTGGCATTGTACCCATGACCCTGGCAAAGTCCAATGCAGTATTGACCCAGGCCTGTATGCCTAGGAAGCCCTAGACAGGAGCAGGCAGACCTACCATATTAGTGCCTGAAAGATAATCCCTGACTTCTAACCCTAAAGGTTAGAAGCCTAGTTTTGTTTCTTTATAGAGCAGCACATGGAGATGTGGGTCACCCCAGTGCTTCTGCTGGTGACAGGAGTAGTGACCTGCATGAACTGCCAGGACCTGGTCGTCAGACATATCAAATGCTAGCTCGGTGAGGGACTCAAGGTGTAGTTTTACCTCTCTACATGTCCCCAGTGGAGACATGGAGAGGAGTTTTGATATTTTCAAGGAGGGTCAATGCCCCAGAAGTGGTATGACTGCACCCCACGAAGCCAGTGGGAAGTGTGGCAGGAAGCCTCAGCACTAAACAAATGCATGTGTGTCGAGTTTTGAATCTGTTGGTAGAAGGCTGTTGTGTTCACATTCCAAAGTTTGTATTATGATAAATCTTATTATGCACACAATGAGGTCTGTGTTGGTTATGATAGCAGCTAAATAATTGAGAAATGATGATCCATAGTAAGCATTAAGACTCACCAAGACTGTGCTTCCTTTTAAGTTTGGAAGCAAGAGGTGACTGTACCCCCACTACAAGGAAACCACTTGAATCCTGACTGTGATTGTGGGCTGGATTGTGTGGCAGCTACACCCACACTGACAAAGCCCTGACAAAAGCTTCACTGTGAAAGCTTCCCTCCACATGCAAAAGCCTGGGAAAACTCCCTGCACATGCAGCTTTTGTCCCACTCGTGTGGTGGTGGTCAGCAGGGACAGGGGCAAGGAAGTTGGGGTCCTGAGCCAGTGGTCACTACATGACCGTATCTGACCACAGATCAGACTTGACTAGGGTATAAAGGGAGTCCTGCCAGAGAGCCTTTTGGAGTTAGTCCTCCTCAGAGCAGCAGGCATGCAGTCAGGGACTCTCCCCTCGGGTTGGGATGCCATCCAGCGTAACTCCTCAAGGTTGACATCCCTCCATTTGTTCAATAATTGTGTTTTAGACCAGTGGCCATAACGTTTGAGAATCAGCGGCGTGGT